AAAGTCTTCCCAGCATGATTCTTGTGAGGAACCTTTCTGTTGTTCTTTTGTGAATCCTCACCTGAGGATATTTTTCCTTTGATTTTTAGGGAGTAGAAGGGAGGGAGAGGGAGAGAGAGAAACATTGATGTGAGAGAGACACATCGATTGGTTGCCTCCTGCACGTGTCCCAACCCCAACTGGGGCCAGGGATCGAGCACGGCAACCTAGGTACATGCCCTTGACTGGAATCGAACCTGAGACCTTTCAGTCTGACACTCTAACCACTGAGCAACCGGCGAGGGCTGTCTTAGGATTATGAATGCTTCAAGTTTCCCCACCTCTTGTCGGTAGATCTTCCTGGTCATTCAGGGCCCTGGTGTTCACTTCCAACCACAGCTTATGAGCTTACCCAGCAAACTTTGTCTTCATAGTTTGACTCAGAGGTCAGTAATTCTTTCTTCTTGTGGTTTTTCTTCCAAAAGACCCCAACACACTGTTTGCTTCTCTCAGCTCCCCACCCCTTCCATGAGACCTTTGCTTATTTCTGGACTCATTTTAAGATAGACTGTATTGATCATAGCAGCATAATGAAATCAGGCATTTACAACGGTGCATTTAATGTGCTAGGAATGACCTCAGTGGGCCAGGAGGTTGGGAAAGTTGGTCAATTGAATACCACTTGTTTTGGAGACTCGTTTGAGGGAAACTAGACAGCCTGGTTCCTTTGTGCAATCTCCTGATGACAATGAGATGTCACGGCATTCCTGACATTCTCTGTTCACCCAGAGGTTGTGATGGTGGCATTCTGGAAACCTGTTGGACCCTTAACCTCCACCTGGTGCTCAGGTTGCCATCTTTCTGGGCAGAGCTGCACATATCTACCCACTCTCCTTCTTTCTCAACTTGGGCAGAAGACATAAGATTGGCTGGAATTTTCAACACATGATGATGTTTTCAGGTAAGACAGTATAAATGTCAAGAAAATGGGTGTTACGAAGCAGGCAGCATTAAAGTATTGACAAGGTTCATAAAAAGAGAAAGATTAAAGTTTCTGGGTCTTTTGTATCCCCTGTGGTGCTGAGTAGACAGGTGTACATGGTAAACTGACTTAATATTCACTTTGCACTCTACTACCAAATGTGAACATTATCCCCTAAAATATTTGCATCTTTATTTCATCTCTATCACCCAAAGGGCCTGGAGGTATGAATTGAAAGTGCTTAAGTGTTCTCTAGTGGATTGTTCATAACCCTTAATCTTCAAGAAGGGCTCCAGATCTAAAATTATAAGTAAAATAGGTTTTAATGAGAAAGAATATGGGCCATGTCACTCAACATCTCCACCCCAGTTGCAGTATCCTCTCTTGTAAAATAATGAAATTGAACTGAAGTTCCTCCTAACTCTGACTTTCTATGGAGCAAAAGAAATAAAATACACTCATAAGAAAGATGAACCCCAGCTCATTCACACTGTCTCCCAGATGCCCCCCGCTCTTCACTATAAAGCTAGGAAGTATGGAGAAGCCACTGAGAAGGTAAAGGACAATAAGGAACTATGTGGAGATAATGGAAGGAGAGAACAATTGGCATGGGTAGATGGTGGTAAGGGTCAGAGTTGATAAATGAGACCCAAGTTAGAGCATTTCTGCAGAGCACAGGAAGGAAATGGTAGCGCAAAAGGCAACAGTGACCCTTAGGGTTACTTCTGTCCTGTGGCGGGGGCAGGGGGGGGCGGTTGGAAGAGGCTGTACAAGAGGCAAAGTGAGTAGCTGCCCTTTAACACCATGCAGTAGTTCTTGGGGGCCTCAGAGAGTCATACTGAAACCACACCAACTAGCACTGTTCAGCAAAGCAGTCACTGTCTAGGACTCATTTGCATCTGCCCTTAAATGTACAGCCTGCGATAATGATTTCCTTTCACTCTGACAAATGTTTGTTGAGCGTTCTCTTTTTATAAGCCGCAGTTTTAGGTTATGGAGGATACAGAAACCAGCCTCCTGCAAGGAGCTCACAGTCTGCTGGGGTGGGGGGGGGCACGTGTACAACGTGTTTTCTCTGAAGAGAAGGGGGTGAATTGCACAAAAGAGGTATGAAATAAATGAGGAGGAGAGGAGGAACCAGGGCCATCTTCACAAAGGGGTAACCGAACTTGGAAGAAATGGATTTCAGGAGGCAGCAGGTTGGAAAGGCAAGAACTGGAAGACACATGGGGTAATGCAGAAAGGAGGTGAGGTTGGAAAGGAAAATTACATGTAAAGTGGTATGAACCTTTAGGTTGTGTTGGAATCGCCTGTTGGGTTGGTTAAAGCAGAGGGTACAGGGCGGCCTCGAGAATTTGAATTCCTAACGTGTCCTCTGCTGCTGCTGGTTTGAGGACCACACTTGGAGGACCACGGAGAAGCTGCAGTGCTGTCCCGCTTTGGGTTTATATAGGAGCTGGGAACCATTAGAGGTCTCTGAGGAGGACAGTGACAAGATGCTCCTCACATATTAGGAAGGTGGTGGTAGAAAGAGAAAAATGAACTGGACATAACTCACTCACCTAGATGAACTTAAAATATGTGCTTTACCTTCTGCACTAAAAGACTGAGAAGTACACAGAGCTGTTTAAAGATATCTCCTATAAAAATGAGTTTCTGCTGGGAGGACTCACTCTTCAAGGCCGTGACCTACCTGAGGTTTCACTTTTATATTGCTTACAGTGTTTACCTAATAAAAGTAAGAAAAATATAGCACACATTGTCTCTTTCTGATCCTCCAAGTTTTTTTTTGAGATAACATCTCTTTAGAGGCTTAAATATTGATCGATTGATCAATGACATAACTGACTTATAGGGCAACATAGATTTGTATAGATATTTCACTAGCACAGATTAATAGAAAACATTAACTTTGCTCAGTTTTTTATGTAACTTTTGTGGAGTCACTCCTTTAGTAAATTGTAGTGAAGTTCTCAGATTAATTGTAAAATGATTGGAAAAGGTGGGAAAGTCTACAAACAGATGCAGTGGGCATAACTTTCATTCTCATATACATACAATCTTGCTCATGGTGAATAGGAATTTATACTACATATGTGTTAAAGACCATGGGTTCAGTCTTAACTATAGAAAAAATTATGAGCATGGTATGGGGAACGGACAAAAAAACTTGGAAAGATAAACATTAAAATGTTAAAGGCTTAATCTTTATACCCATTAATGTAGATTATCAGGGTCAGCAAATTGGTGCCTGGGCCAAATCTGGCTGTTGCCTGTGTTCATATACCCAGAGGGCTCAGAATGGCTTTCACAGGTGAAAGTTTATAACTTTGAACCCCAAATAAGCAGCCCCCCAAAGAATTCCTTTCTTTTCAGTAGTAGACCTGTATTAGAATGAATTGTACTCATTATTATATTCTTAGTTTTCATCAATCAAATTTTGTGAAAATTTGTTTTCTCTCTTTTATACAAGGACCTACATGACAGCCTTAATTTTTCCTCGTGGTCTACAAAGCATAAAATATTTGTCACCTTTTGCAGAAAAAGTTCCCAACTCCTGATGTAGATCAGGTTATATGGTTACTTCTCTGTGTGGCCTTGCTAGGGAAATGCTGAACTGTTTTGTGGTTCATAGTACATGAACCACAAATATGCATTTGACATATTCACATCTAGCATGTTTCTGATGGTTATAATGACTGCGTAGTGCATTGGTCATGCTTGGATCACAGACTTGGAGAGCTTAAATTATTTCTTATTTATATTTATTTTATATTACTAGCAGGAGAATTATTTCAGCAATGAAAGAGTTTATTCTAAAATGTGCTGTACAAACTAGTGCAGTATTTCTTTTAAATATGTTTTTATTGATTTCAGAGAGAAGAAGGGAGAGAGAGAGAAACATCAATGATGAGAGAGAATCATTGATTGGCTGCCTTGCTCCCTACCAGGGATTGAGCCTGCAACCCGGGCATGTGCTCTGCCTGGGAATCAAACCGTGACCTCCTGGGTCATGGGTTGATGCTCAACCACTGAGCTACACCGGCTGGGCTAGTGCAGTGTTTTTATCATTGCATTTGGACATTTTGCAAAAGAAAACTTCAAATAGGAGAACATGATATTCCTTTAAGGTTCTTCTCTCTGAATAAAACAGCTTGGCTCCGGAAATACGAGTGGATATGGTTTATGAGCCCCTAGAGGCAGCAGTGGATTTGAGGTCACGCTGTCATTTGGCTGTATAACCAGGAGATCTTCCTCTTCGGTCCCTGCAGGCCTCAGGGGAGCAATGGCATTTGCACTGGCCATCCGAGACACAGCATCCTATGCTCGCCAGATGATGTTCACGACCACCCTCCTCATTGTCTTCTTCACCGTCTGGATCGTTGGCGGAGGCACAACACCCATGTTGTCATGGCTTAATATAAGGTTGGTTTGAAACAGAGGCCAGTTTTGTGTCTGCACCACTGTGGGCATGCAGGATGTGCTTTAGCTTAGCGCCTGGAAGGTTTTTACAGTTTTTTAAATTTTGTTTTTGAGAGAGATTAAAACGGAAAAACCATAAAAATTCAGAGTATTGAATGTTCCGGGAGAAAAAAAAATGTTGTCGTTAAAATTTTTGTTGGTGTAAAAACACAAGGAATGAGAAACACCTGGACCTTCTAGAGCAGTGACATTAAGGAAAGAATCCAAAAAGTCTTAAAGCGGCAGGAGAGAGAGTAGACATTGCTGTTGGCAACGTCTGGTATTTCGCAATTAAGGTTTGATGTTCACAATTAGAGTTTTGTTTTAGGAGGAAAGTGCTGTGTCTCTTTTTGCTTGAGTGCACAAAAGAGGTGACATTTCCTGCAGATCCCTCATCGGTTGCAGCCTCATGGATGTCGCCTGCCTGTGGTTTTGCTGCTGTGTCAGAACGAAGGGGCACTGACCTGAGTTTGCTTTTTTAAAAAGAGCATGTCAACTCCAAACTTGGCTGGTGAGCTCCAACACCCTATGGTAATGAGGACTGACGAACAGGGAATAAGAGACCTGCAGCCCCACCCTGGCTCTGGTGTCTGAAAGCCCCTCATGTCTTTGGACCTGAGGACAACAGGAAATAGGAGTGCACTGGCAGATTTCCCCCAGGGAGCCTTCAGCTCTAAGTGAGCATCCTCCATCATTGGAAGTGCTCTAGTCACTTGCCTCAGTTTTGGGTGTGCAGAGGGTGACGCTTGGGTAGTGCAGAGGCGTGAAGAATCCTCTGCAAAGCCACAAGGCGGCAATGCTTTTTCCATTCTCTGCTGACTTTTAGTTTGTGTTTCCTTCTCTAGAATGCAGAGTACATGGCACTGACAGCTGCCAAGCATACCTAGCTCCGAGGGGAGAAAAGGACCTCGCAGTCATCCTTGGAGTTAGGGAGGAAACTGGAATTTGAGAGAATAGTCTCCCCCGTTGGGGACTTTCATATTGATGGCAGGCAGGGGTTTGGCCACTGCCACTTCTCCCATTTGGGGGCTGGCATGTCTTAGCCTTAGAGTGGGGATCTGCACAATCTATGTGGGGCTTCTCAGTGACAGTCACATACTAGCTAACAGTTGTGCTGCAGGTGGCGTTTAAGATGCCACATGTATATTAAGGTAATTCTCATAACATTCCTCTAAGGGAGCTGCCACTACTGTCTTCATTTTAGAGTTGGGGATGCCGAGGAACAGAACAGTAACTTGCCCAATGTCACAAAGCTTGAAGTGGACAACTTGGGATATGAATCCAGGCCACACAGTCCACACTCTTAACTACCACTGTGCTGTGACTGCCTGTAAGAAGGCTTGCTGTGTTAGGGTCTTTTTTATTTGGGATTATTAGAATTTCAGTTTCTTGGCATGAATCTCAAGAGTTATGTTAAGGAAAACAGTTCATCTGTGGTAATACAAATCCAGAGAAGAAAATTTACAGATTTTTGGCTTGACACTTGAGACATCTTTGTTCTGTGTAGCGGATGAAGAACAAGAAAGGAGGTTTATCCTACACACAGTTGGGAATCTTTGCATTCAGTGGCCTCTGAGATAACATCCTGCTCCTATTTGGTCACCCAGTAGTTACCCTGGAAGCTCAGAGCCTGATTGAATCATGTTTTTTTAAATGCTATTTCATAAGTCCTTTTTTTGCCCCCTCCAACATACACAGGATCAAATAATTTTCCACTGAGAGTAAAAAGTTGACTTGTGACATTTTGCACTTCTCATAACCCTGTTCAAGAAATGGGACATGAAAACAGCCCTACCCAGAGCTGAGAGTGTGGGCAGCTTTCACTGAGGCACACAAGCAGTAAATGTATTAATATAATGTAATAATTGGATTGCCCTCAGAACATAGCACTAGCACATGGCCATGGGCCAGAGATGACTATGTGCATGTCTGTGTGTATGAGAGATCATTCCCCTACATCCTTGCCAGCATTTGGTGTTATCACAATTTTTTTTAACTCAGCTGTTCTAATAGGTGTGTGGGATACATCATTGTGGTCTTAATTTGCATTTCTCTCATGGCTAATAACGAACATCTCTTCATATGCTTATTTGCCATTCATACATCTTTTATGGTAAAATATCTGTTTAAGTCTTTTATTTATTCTAGATCAGGGATGGGCAAACTTTATGACTCGAGGGCCACAATGGGTTCTTAAACTGGACCGGAGGGCCGGAACAAAAGCATGGATGGAGTGTTTGTGTGAACTAATATAAATTCAAAGTAAACATCATTACATAAAAGGGTACGGTCTTTTTTTTTTTTTTAGTTTTATTCATTTCAAACGGGCCGGCCGTAGTTTGCCCACGGCTGTTCTAGATACTAGTCTAGATGTGTAGTTTGCAAACATTTTCTCCTAGGCTGTAGCTTGTCTTTACATCCTTTTAAAAGTGTCTGCCATAGAGAGGATGTTAATTTTGATGAAGGCATTTTATCATTTTTTCTTTTATGGATTGTGCTCTTGATATCATGTCTAAGGACTCTTCATCAAGCCCTAGGTCTCCAAGATTTCTTTCTGTGTTATCTTCTAAAAGTGTTTTGCTTTTACTCTTTACATTTAATTCTGTCATCCATTTTGACTTAATCTATAATAATAAAAGTGTAATATGCTAATTAGACCAGACACGCTTCTGGACGACCTTCCTGATGAAGCCACGGTGGCAGGGGTTGAGGCAGAGGTGCCATGGAGGTGGGTGGGGGCCGGGGTAGAGGCAGCAGTGGCGGCGGCAGGGGCTGAGCCCCTTGCATGAATTTCCTGCATCAGGCCTCTAGTTTTTATATAAGAAGTGAGATATAGATTGAGGTTTTATTTTATCTGACTATTGCTATGCAGTTGTCAGCACACTTAGAAAAAAAACAACTATCCTTACTCCATTGAATTACTATTGATCCTTTGCCAAACATCAGTTGGCTGCATGCATGTGGGTCTGTTTCTTTTCTGCTCCATTAACTCATGTGTCTATCTCTCCACTTGTATCACACTCTCCTCATAACTATAATTATACTAGAGGCCCGGTGTATGGATTCATGCACCGGTGGGGTCCCTCGGCCTAGCCTGAGCCTTCTCGCAATCTGGGATTCCTCAGGAGATGTTGGAGAGCCAGTTTTGGCCTGATCCCCACAGGCCAGGCCGAGGGACCACACCGGTGCTTGAATCAGTGCATCTGGCCTCTACTATGCATATAAGATCTTTAGTTAATCTCTTCCCGCCCTCCCCCTTCCCCCTTTCCTTCTGAGACTCACCAGTCTGTTTCATGTTTCCATGCCTGTGGTTTCCACTCCTGCATTGAGCATCTGCCCCCTGGTGGTCAGTGCCCATCATAGCTACTGGTCAGTCAGCTGGTCAGCTGATCGCTTAGGCTTTTATATATATAGATAATAAGACTTAGCATCAGGTAGAGTGAGTCTTTCCACTTTATTATTTTTTAAACAATCATAGCTATTCTAGTTGTTTTCCATATACATTTTAGAATAAGCTTATCTATATCTTTTTAAAGATCTTGCTGGGATTTGGATAGGAATTGTGTTAAACCTGTATATCAATTTGCGAAGAATGGACACCTTTACTCTGTTGAGTCTTCGAATCTATGATCATGGCATTTTTCTCTATTTAGATTTTCTCTTATTTCTTTCATCAGTATTTTATGGTTTTCAGTATACAATGCCTGCCCATGTTATGTTAGATGTACATCTAATTATTTCTTCTTTTTGAGCAATTGTAAAGGTTATTCAACCTTATTTTCAGTTTCCATGTGTTCATTGCAAAAATATAGAAATACAGTTGTTTTTTGTGTGTTGATCTGATATCCTGTGACCTTGCCAAGCTTATGTATTAGTTCTAGGAGGGTTTGTTTTTTTTAGAGTCTTTGAGATTTTCTATGTCGGCCATCATGTCATTTGCAGATAGAGACGGCTTTATTTCTCTTTCCCAAACAGTGTGCCTTTTATTTTCTTTCTTTGATTTATTGATCTGGCTAGGATTTTCAGTGCTATGTTGAATAAGAGTGATGTGAGTAGACATCCTTGCTTTGTTCCTGATCTTAAGGGAAATGCATTCTGTCTTTCACCAATAAGTATGATGTTATCTGTAGGGTTTTTTAAGATGTTCGTATCAAGTTGAGGAAGTTTATATCTATTGCTAGTTTTCTGAGATTTTTAAAATCACCCACAGATGTTGAATTTTATCAAGTGCTTTTTCTGTATAAATTGATATGATCATATTGTTTTTCTTGGTTAGCCTGTTAATAAGGTGGGTTACATTGATTAATTGTCAAATATCAAACCAGCCTCACTTCTCTAAAATAAATCCCACTTGGTTGTAGTGTGTAAATTTTATAAATATTGCTGAGTTCTATTAGCCAATATTTTGTTAAGGAATTTTGTGTCTGAGTTCGTGAGGGATATTGGTCTGTAGTTTTCTTTCATACTGCCTGTGTCTGTTTTTGGTATCAGCGTAATCTGGCATCACAAAATGAGTTGGAACATGTTCCCTACTCTTCTGTTTTCTGGAAGAGATTGTGTAGAAGTGGTGTTAATTCTTCTTGAAAGTTTTATGGAATTCTTTAGTAAAACCATCTGGTCCTACAGACTTTTTTTTTCAGGGATTTTTTAAATTATGAAGCCAGCCTAGCTGGTGGGGTTCAGTGATTGAGCATTGACCTATATACCCAGAAGGTCATGGTTTGATTCCTGGTCAGGACACATGCCCAGGGTATGGACTCAATCCCCAGTAGGGGGCATGCAGGAGGCAGCCGATCAGTGATTCTCTCTCATCATTGATGTTTCTATCTCTCTCTCCCTCTCCCTTATCTCTGAAATCAATTAAAACATATTTTTTAAAAAGTAAATAATGAAGCCAATATCTTTAATAGTTATATGGCTATTAAGATTATTTCATATTAGAGGCCCGGTGCACGAAATTTGTGCACTCGGGGGGGGGGGGTCCCTCAGCCCTTGGGGGATATCCGACTGATGGCTTAGGCCCGCTCCCTGCGGGCCTAAGCTGGCAGTTGGACATCCTTAGCACTGCCACAGAGGCAGGAGAGGCTCCCGCCACTGCGCTTGCCAGCTGTGAGCCCAGCTTCTAGCTGAGCAGCACTCCCCCTGTTGGAGTGCACTGACCACTAGGGGGCAGCTCCTGCATTGAGCATCTGCCCCCTGGTGGTCAGTGTGTGTCATAGCGATTGGTCATTCCACTGTCAGGCTGAAACTGGCTCTCGGACATCCCCTGAGGGGTCCTGGATTGCAAAAGGGCTCAGGCCAGGCCAAGAGACCCCACCAGTGCACAATCGGGGCAGGGGAGGGACATGGGAGGTTGGCCAGCTGGGGAGGGACCACGGGAGGGCTCCAGGGCGTGTCCGGCCTGTCTCGCTCAGTCCTGATCGGCCAGACCCCAGCAAGCTAACCTGCCGGTCGACTTCTGCCCCCTAGTGATTAGTGGATGTCATAGCGAGTGGTTGAGCGGCCTTAGCATATCATTAGCATATTACACTTTTTAAAAAAATATATGTTTTATTGATTTTTTTACAGAGAGGAAGGGAAAGGGATAGAGAGTTTGAAACATCGATGAGAGAGAAACATCGATCAGCTGCCTCCTGCACACCCCCTCCTGGGAATGTGCCCGCAACCAAGGTACATGCCCTTGACCAGAATCGAACCTGGGACCCTTCAGTCAGCAAGCTGATGCTCTATCCACTGAGTCAAACCGGTCAGGGCTAGCATATTACACTTTGATTCATTGAATGGATGACTGGATGACTGGACACTTAGCATATTAGGCTTTTATTATACAGGACTGGGCAAATTATGGTAGTTGGTGACATTGATCTGTTTCATCTAAGTTGTTACATTTATTGTTGTTCATAGCATTACCTTATTATCCTTTTGATGTCTATGAGATCTATAGTGCTATTCCCTAATATCACTGATATAGGTAATTTGGTAATTGGTAATTCCTGATATTGGTAATTTGTATCTCCTCTCTTTTTTTCTTTGTCTTGCTAGAAGTTGGTCAATTTTATTGATCTTTTCAAAGAATTAGCTTTTTATTTCATTGATTTTCTGTATTGTTTTTGTTTTCAATTTCTGCTTCTATCTTTTTTTATTTCCTTCTTTCTGTCCAACTCTACCCAGACAACAAAGTTTGTCATTGGTGAAAAATACAGTGTCATTTTACTGTAAGTATAGAAACTGGAATTTACAGAGATTACATAAAAAGAAATTCCCTCCAAAATAAGGAAATGAAACTGATTGTTTTTTTTTCTGGCTTGTGACTTTATTATGTTACTTAATGGCCACAATCATTTATATACTAGTAAACCAGATTCTTATTCTAAATTGATTCAGAAACCCCCTGAAATTCAGCATGGTGTTTTGACCTCTGTAACCTCAGTAAGATCAATACCTGCTTATTTCTTACTTCTTCAGGCTGCTGACAGAGGCCCTGCCCAGAAGTCAGAAGCCCAGGGTAGGACTCAGAGTTCAACTATAAATAATTAAGAGTTAGCTGTGATTTTAAAGCATGGCTAATTTCTAGTCTGTGAATAAAGTAAGAATGAATATAACCACAAGCCAAAGCCAGGTCACTGATTTCCAGAAATCCAACTTATCTTTTAAAATTGGTATTTTGTGATTAATATTTTAGAACATGAAGGCAAAATGCTCATATTGTTTTCTGTAAATGTACAAACTACATAATATTTGTTTTAGTCTCTTACGCAAGTGCTGCTATTCACAAAGGACAAAATTTTGGCAACTTAAAAAAATGGTCACAGGATTATTTCAGCGGATAAACCTTGCATGTGTCCTGAGTGCATTTTGGCGGCATGGTGGCTGTCTTCTCGGAGCCCCCAGCTTAGGTGACACGCACATGAAGTGGCGGTTATGGTGGGGGGTGGAATGGCGCACATCCACGCAGTCAAATGAACAGGTAGCCCTCCTACCTCAGCGTGTAGTAATACAATCACTCAAGGACAAGTTAGGATGCCCTGTCCCCTATAATCCTGTTAGACAGAATTTATGATAAAGCTCTTTGTAAGGGGACTTAAGGAATAAAGGCCGGGAGAAGCCCTGAGCTCTTTATGTAATAGCATTTGTAACTGGATATTTTTAAGGAGTTTCAAGATGACACCTTGTAATCAAAGGCAGCGTCCCGGAAGGTGAAGAGCTGGGGCTCTGGCGTCTAACAGACTCAATCGCAATCGTGGTTCCACCATTTTCTACCTTTGTGACCTTGGGCAACTTATTTAACTCAGTTTCTTGGCTGGTTAAATGGGGTTGACAATAGTGTGAGGACAAAATGTGGTGATGAATAAATGTGATAGAGAATTTTTTTCATTAACTGTGCCATCTGGCATATGGTAAACATTTAGTATATTTTAACTCTTATCATTACTAATCATGGTGTCACTACTTCTTACGATTACTGTTATTATTACAAGTGGATCGTACATTAATGGAATCTAGTTTGCTTTTCTGGAATTTGTATTTTTTAATACTGTAGTAATATATAGAGTCCGGATAAGTCACAGTCTGAATGTGTGACTAAAAGTAACACTTTAAGAAGCATCACCTTCTCACTTGCATATTTCAGGGGAGATTCGTAGCTTGAGGATTTGGGCATGTCTAGAACAGCGTTTCTCAACCTTTTTTTTAAATTATTGCCCCTCCAAGGAGCCTTTAAAAATGTTTTCCTCAGTTTTAATACCACAGTAAGATTTTAGTATCACCATTACTTTTTAAGAAATTTCAATACCATAGATCTAGTATATATTTATTTATGTACTATGGTACAAATCATTGTAATCTCTAAAAAAATGTTTTTGTCCTACAAGAACCAATTTTCATACCCCTGGGGTCAATATAACCCCCCCCCCCATTGGGAATACATGATTTAATGCAGTGCTTCTCAACTGAGGGCAATTTTCCCCCTAGGGGACATTTGACAATGTCAGGAGACATTTTTGGTTGCACTGGGGTACCCACCCCAGTGCTTACTGGTGGGTAGAGGCCAGCGCCCAAAATATCAATAGTGCCAAGTGTGTGAGACCTTGCTCTTCATGTAATGGTGAAGTTTAAATGCACTCTGAAGGAGCCAGCAATGATTGAGGAAGGTGAAAATGGACCGTGCCAGTTCTAAGGTCACAAGGTAAAGAGAAGAACAGAAGTTGGATTGCTGACCTTCAGGTTGAACACATGGACAATGTGACATACTTAACTAGAAAAAAAGGCCATCCTGTCTTAAGTATTGTTGCTGTTTTCAATAATACAGGCTTTTTGCTCTTTCTGTCAAATATGTGTAAATGCTGCAAATATGTGTTTAGTAACAACTTTGTTTTTTATTTTTGTATGGATGTGTCTTGCTTTATGAAACAAATGAATTCCTGAAAAAATTGCAGAAATTCATTTGCTGAGTTGCATTTATTCCTCTGATTTCATTTCATTATATTTTGAGAGGCTTATCTTCATTCTAAATTGATCCTCATTTGACCTGCTCCTAACATTGTTGCTTTAAATGTAAATTTAGCAGCCCCTCTGCCTCTCCAGGTTTTAGAGAGCAGGAATAGTATAAGAAAGGGTATGGATTTATGTTTAAAGTGAGACCGTCTATTCTTTGATGGACGCGGTCCAGGTCATGTGCCCAGAACCCCTGGCTCCCCTATTGTCCCTGTCACACTCATGTTCCCTTCTTCTACTGCCCAGAGTTGGCGTCGAGGAGCCCTTTGAAGAGGACCAGAATGAACTCCAGTGGCACTACTTCAGGTGACACAAGGGCATCCTCAGAAACAAATTAACTGGGCCTGGCTTTCCCCCTCTTTCTAACCTCTTTCTAACATGAGGTGCTTCTCTTTATGTCATTTGTCTCTTTCTTCTGGTGTGTGCCAACCCTCTGCTCCTTTTAGCAAAGGGGCAAGAGGGGAGGTCAAGTCTAATCATTTTTCCACGCTTTCTCTTGGCTGGTTGATGTATCTGTTCCCGAGATTGTGTCCCCTTACCCTACATTTTGAACAGTGCTGGCGAGTGTCTCCTTGTACAACTGGCCTTGGTGTTGAGAGCAGCACGTTTGTAGAGCCACACATACTTCCCCCACACAATTCTGCTTATTTTCTAGTAAATAAGGCTTCCAACTTATAAAGAGAACCAGAATTTTATATTTCAGCCATGGCTGGCGTATGGCTCACACCATCTTAATTAAGTACTGTTTTCGTTTTCTAAGTATGTTTTTGTGTACTTGTGCTTTATCATGGTGAATCAGAAGGTACAAAAAACAGGTGTTTTTTAAACGGGAAGATAATTAAAGTCTCTTCTAATGCAATTTGTCGCTCAGTGTGCATCCAGGTTTTTGATTTGATTATGCTTAAGGGTGGTGATATTGGACAATCAGAATGAAGACTTTAATGTTCTTTCCCTTCTGCATCTTTAACCAGCATGCTTTCTTCCTGGTCTGATTTTGGGTGCTGGTCAATAATATAAATGCAAAATAGGCTTGAACTCTGTTCTTGGCATTGGGAAAGCAGCTATAGCTGCCATGGTGCATGGATCTTGGGATATCACTAGGCCCTGAATGTATACTGTAATGACACTCATACAGTTAATTGACACGTTTAAGTTTCCTGGGTTTGAACTTTTTTCTGTTTAAAATACACACACAGGTTTATTTTCAGAGATCTGACTTTAGATACCGATGAACTGGCAGAGGAAACCCCCTCCTTTGAAATATTCCACTTTTAAGAAGGAAGTGGAAAGTGCAAATTATTACACTTGGGATGTGAGAGAATTCAGATTCTGATCTGTTGTTCAAGGTTTTGTATGAAGGTGCGTGTCTAATATCCCTCAGATTATTTCGGACCTCAGATAGTTCTAAACTTCTGAATTATAGAAGTTCCAAAGTTTCTGAAATTTTACAGCCTTTTTATGACAGTTAATCAGAATGTACATATTATACCAGAAGAGCAATTATTCATTTTTTTGTATTTAATCATTCCAGAATGTACACATCCATTTGATTGCTTATTTTCTCAGTTGGTGTGGGATTTCCACATTTGTCTCATGCTTATTGAAAATAAGGATAATTCAGCCCGGCTGGTGTGTCTCAGTGGTTGAGCGTTGACCTATGAACCAGGAGGTCAAGGTTCGATTCCAAGTCAGAGCACATGCCCTGTTTGCGAGCTGAATCCCCAGTACGGAGGTGTGCAGGAAGCAGCCGATCAATGATTATCTCTCATCACTGATGTTTTTCTCTCTCTCTCCCTCTCCCTTCCTCTCTGAAATCAATAAAAACGCATTAAAACAAACAAGCAAACAAACAAACAAACAAACAAACAGGTGAGGGTTCAGGATCACAGCTAGAAATTCAATTGGTGACCTCTGCCACTTTTATACATTAGACACTTTGGGTGCACTGATGCTCTGGTGTGACTTTTGTGGATAGTCCTGGGACCTCTGAATTAGGTGGATTTCATATCAAAAAATCTTTGTGAGATTTGTTGCTCAGAATCCCTGGATAATGTCCAGTTGGGAGGACAAGACTCCATCCCTCAAAAACTCCTGCCTAGAAGCAGCCTATAGACACAGCAAAGCCCATCTAATTCACTACAAAGGTCCCATCAAACCTCAGGCCCATGGGGAGGAAATCTGACTCTAGGTACACTATGGACATGCTTATAACAGTGCCTGGCATAGTAGGTACTTAATAAATATTTGCTGAATCCATGGATTCATCTTGTGGGTTTAAGCTTTGCCTTCAGCAAAATATGGGGTAACTGCTTCTTTTTCTTCTCTACCCCTCCCCCCCCCCGCCTTGTCCAGGGGCATGCACCTTGGGTTAGTGCTTAACAAGCCTGGAGTAAGAGAGTAGAGGTTGGTTTTGCAGGTGGGGTGCATCTGTGCTATCTTCTATTCCCCTTTTCCATTAGTCTCTTTTCTCAAGGAATATGCTGGGCATCACAGGTGGGGAGGAGGGAAGGAGAGGACGAAAAGCAAGACGTGCATACACAGGGCTCTGTGCATCTGCTGGCCTGCTCATTGGAGTCAGCACCCTGGTACTAGACTGCAGATCACACCCCTGGTCAAGGCCATTCATCACCTCTCTTCAAGCTCCAATCAGACCTGCTGAAAACTGTGTTCTGTTTACCTTTTATAATGCCATCTGTTCTTTGTGATACTGGAGGAAGTGAGGGAAGATAGAGAATTTTCCTGGCATCTTTGTTTTCTCCTTCATTGCTCCATGCTATCCATGTCTTCTGTGTCAGAATCAGGAAGGCACAGGGATAAAGAATTACCAGATGCACAGGGCAACAGTTGGTATGTTACTAAGCTAAGATAGTGCCTTTATGAATTTGCTATAAGTGGATTTTGGCACTTTGCTTTCTGTCTACAGTTGTTGATCTCAAATATGTGACTTCACAGGTCATCCCTACTGTGGGAAGACGTGGCAGCACCAGGATAAAAAAAGTTAGAGATATGCATGCTGAAGTATTTAGAGGAAGTTACTGATGGCTGCGACTTTATTTGAGTTCATCCAAAAAATAAGATGGGTGATAGAGAGATGGATGGAGATGTAATGAAGTATAGCAAAATGTTAATGGTAGAATCTAGGTCAGTGATGGCGAACCTATGACACACCTGTCAGAGGTGACACGAGAACTCATTTTTTGGTTGATTTTTCTTTGTTAAATGGCATTTAAATATATAAAATAAATATCAAAATATAAATCTTTGTTTTACTATGGTTGCAAATATCAAAAAATTTCTATATGTGACACGGCACCAGAGTTAAGTTAGGGTTTTTCAAAATGCTGACATGCCGAGCTCAAAAGGTTCGCCATCACTGATTTAGGTGGTGGGTATGTAGGTTTTCACTATAAATGCTTTCAACACTTCCTTGGACATATGAGAGGTTTCATAACAAAAGGTTAGGAAAATAAAAGCAGGGCAGGGCAGATGTGAGGAAGCAGTGGAGAGGAAAAGCCTGGTGCAGTGGGACCCACACTTTTAGGACAGACAGTCTGGTACAGGAAGGCTGACCAACCATTGCCAGCTGGTGCTGTTCCTCAGCGGCCTTGCTCAGGGTGTAAGCACACAGGCTGTATGGCCCCTCCTATCCCTGGGATCTGATGTGTATAACCTCTTTCTCATGACTTTTGCATGACAGTCTTTCTCTTCTTTTAGCTAATCATTCCTTCTGCTTCGGGAAGATGGTCAGCCTCTTGCCAACTTTCAGCCAGAATGGCTGCCATGGTCCAAGCTAATACTCTCTGTTTTTCTCCTTGTCTTTCTCCCTGGTGACTTATAGAGTTGGTGTTGACCCGGATCAAGACCCACCACCCAACAATGACAGCTTTCAAGTCTTACAAGGGGTAAGTCACAAGACATGCTTCTTCTCAGGAAAGATAATATTAAAAATAGCGAAAATCTATTGAGCATTTACTACACACTAGGCACTTGACATGAATTCCCTCACTGTGATCTTGACAAGAACCTTAGGTAGATACTGTTATACCATTTTACAGGTTAGAAATTAAAGTTTGAGAGTTTCAGTGAGTTATATAAGGCCAGAGAATTAGAAAGTGATGGAGCCAGGATTTGACCCCAGAGACAGTGTTCATAAACAACATATTAAGGAGGTGGGCTGGCCAGAAAGAGTGTTTAAGTCCTCAACTCGCTGCCTTCCACAAATGGATGTATGGGATAAATGGTGACTGATTCCGAGTCTCTCAGTGGTATCCAGGCAGAGGAAGGAAAGGGTGTGATTTCAGGCTCTCCTGTTCAAGAGCCTGGGATCCTCTAAGCCAGAGGTTCTCAACCTGTGGGTCGCAACCCCTTTGGCAGTCAAACGACCCTTTCACAGGGGTTGCCTAAGACCATCCTGCATATCAGATATTTACATGACGATTCATAACAGTAGCAACATTACAGTTATGAAGTAGCAACGAAAATAATTTTATGGTTGGGTCACAACATGAGGAACTGTATTTAAAGGGCCAGAAGGTTGAGAACCACTGATTTAGTATGAGGGCAGGGAAGAGTACCTGCAGCAGCAGAGAATCCTGATGGCCCTTGGTATGGCCATCTGCACCAGTTACTATTGCTGTATCATAAACTGTCCCAAACGTAGGAGAGTGAACAATTTTTTCTACTCATGGATTCTCTAGGTCAGGAATTTACAAAGGGCCTAGTAGGGGTGGCTTGCCTTCGCTCCATGAAGAAGGCCTGGGATAATGTGAGGCTGAGGCTGGAATCATCCCAAGGCTGATTGGGTCCGATGTCTGGCTCCGGGGCTGTGAGGACTCGCATAAGGACAGCCAACTAGAATGCGGAACTGTGATTTCTCCATGGGGCCTCAGGGAACTGGACTCCTTATATGATGGTTTACGGTTCCAAAAGCCAGTGCCCCAGCCAGCAAGATGGAGGCCACATATCATTTTCTTTCTTTAAAAAAATTTTTTTTAATCCTCATCCGAAGATATTTTCCCATTGATTTTTAGAGAGAGTGGAAATGTGAGAGAAACACATCCGTTGGTTGCCTCCTGTATGTGCCCTGACCAGGGGTCAGAACAGGGAGGAGCCTGCAACGGCCTCCCCTTGACTGGAATCAACCCGGAATCCTTCGGTTCACTGGCCGACACTCCATCCACTGAGCCAAACTGGCCAGGGCCATACCTTTTTCTGACCTAACCTTGAAAGTCTCACAGCATCACTTCTGTGAGTTTCCATTGGTTATAAGGAGTTGCTAGGGCCAGCCCAGATTCAAGGGGAGGGGACACAGACAGTAACCTCTTGATGGGAAGAGTGTCAATGAAGTGGTCAACATGTTTTAATGCTGCCATATCACCCTGATTGTGGGATTGGCAGGTGACTTTGTCTCCAGGTTTTGCTCCTTTCCCAGGCTGGCATTTCCTGGGCAGGCCAACTGGAGGAAAGGAGAGTTGTAAGAGCAGGAACTGGTTTCCAAAATGTTATTATTTGCCCTTGGAAGTCAAGAACAATTTTGATCAGCATTGAATATGCAGTGCTGAGCATAGTGCCTGGTACCTGGGAGCTCGAGAGGGATTTGATGGGCGGATGCAGGCATGAAGCACAGTGTAGTAGGAAGCTTTACTGACCACATGCTCATGCTGTCTGTGAAGTCATGTCGAGTGTTGCTTTTTCTTCCAGCCAGCATTGAATTAAACACATCAATGCACTTCATCCCAAGTCCTGTCTGCATATTTCAGATTCCATCGGATCTTCTAACTCAGTGGTTGGCAAACTGCGGCTTACAAGCCACATGCGGCTCTTTGGCCCCTTGAGTGTGGCTCTTCCACAAAATACCACGTGTGGGGCGCGCACGTACAGTGCGATTGAAACTTCGTGGCCCATGCGCAGAAGTCGGTTTTCGGCCTGGGCGAGTCTATTTTGAAGAAGTACTGTTGATATTTGGCTCTGTTGACTAATGAGTTTGCCGACCACTGAGATAGATGAAACAAGTATACAAGACGAGTGTGGATGGGAGAGTTGGAAGGGGTTGACCTCAGCGAACGTACCTCAATCAGATTGAGGATGTTTTTAGCAAAGGCCAGCTTAGGAGTCCCCTAATTAAGTTAATAACAATGTACCTACCTATATAGTTTAAGTTTAAAAAATTTGGCTCTCAAAAGAAATTTCAGTCGTTGTACTGTTGAGATTTGGCTCTGTTGACTAATGAGTTTGCCGACCACGGTTCTAACTGACTCCATCTACCAAATCCCATATGACAAGTGTTGCAAAATGTGGTGCTGTGAGGGGGTCCAGAGGATGCTTTTCTGATTCTTTTCTCTTTGAGGGTGGTCACAGCCTGGTAAGGCATCCTTGGTGTTTATGACCCTTGGTGTTTATGTCTCTTAACGAACACAAAGCCATGCCCTCTGAAAGTTCTGGGCATGTTGGGAAGAGCTTTCAATGAGCTACATTGGAGATTTGGTACCCACTCCAATGGTGCTCCAGAAGACCTTTGCGGTTATATTAGAATTGGCCCTCGTGGCAATTGGGAACATGTGGTTTCAATGAGAAGTTCTTTTTGAAAAGTTGCTGTTTGACTCGAGCTTTGATGAAAGACTTTAGTAAACAGGGTGCAAGAACTGTGCACTTGGAAACGAATTTAGAGCATAACAGTTTAGGAGATCTTGAAACTCACCCTGAGAAAACCTGGGCAGAAAGTGTGCTGGATGTCTTCATTTCACTTATGGCTCTGGGAGGATATGGCCGCCCAATTCCAAAGTATTCTCCACAGACCTACGGCCAGTCAAGATTAATTTTACCAGAAAAGCCGGCCAAGTCCAGCTGGATAGCCAGGGTTTCAGTGGTTCTCAACCTTGGCTGCACACTAGAATCACCTGGGAATCTTTAAAATCCTGATTTCTGGGCCTCATCCTCTGGAAATTCTGTTTCTTTGTCATGGGGTGGAGCCACAACATGAGTAACGAAGAAACAGAATTTCCGGAGGATGAGGCCCAGAAATTAGGATTTTAAAAAGATTCCCAGGTGATTCTAATGTGCAGCCAAGGTTGAGAACCACTGCTTTAGAGAGATTTCATCTTGACAGTTCAGACCAGTCAAACACCTCCCAGCCCTCTTGCTGTTTACTATTGCTCTTGCCTTTGGACTTATTATACTGCATATGGAGACAATGGGCTTGTAACCAGACTTAGTAACAAACTTGCTGTCACCTTTCCATGGAAATGTTTAAGAAAGCAGTAGGTCCTAAGTGCTAAGGCAGTGGTTCTCAACCTTCTGGCCCTTTAAATACAGTTCCTCATGGTCTGACCCAACCATAAAATTATGTTCGTTGCTACTTCATAACTGTAATGTTGCTACTGTGATGAATCATCATGTAAATATCTGATATGCAGGATGGTCTTCAGCGACCCCTGTGAAAGGGTCATTCGACCACCAAAGGGGTCGCGACCCACAGGTTGAGAACCGCTGTGCTAAGGGATCTGGTGGCGTATTTAGACCATGCAGTGACAGCTAAGATAGTGCCCCCTGCCCCAGAAGGGCAAGCCTTCCTGGGTGGGTAAACTCTGTACTCAGTGTTCCTGACAGCTCCCTGGAGGGCCCTTTGGACCAACTGTAAAAGGGCACAGCCACTTTCCCTGCCCTCCCAGTGAAGGCCAGTTGGCCCCGCCCTCGCTAGAAGCTGTGTCACAGCTTCCCTGTAACTTTCCTTCTCCCAAGCCTCTCACACAGTCATGCAGAGGGCCCCCAAGTCAGTTCCGTTGGCATTTTAAGATTGCTGTCAAGACCGGACAAAAAAAGATGAACTTCAAGTTTGGTTCCCCGGGACACTTTCTTAGGAATGACTCATGCCCTTGTGCAGAAACAGCCCGTTTCTCTAAATCCTCCTGGCCTGACCTTCTTGGTACAGTGAGCCACTAACAGCAGTGCTGGGAGCACTCAGTGGTCATGTGAAACAGTAAAACAGGGAAGTAAATGGGCGTCTGATTTTTGGGTGAAACCCTGGGTTCTTGCAGTTTCCCCCGAAATGGATCCAGATCACACACTCAGGGTTGTCATGAAACTGCAATCAGAGGTGGAGAAAGTCCAGATGTTTGTTCTCCATTCGAAAAGAAAGGGCAGTCCGTTCTCTTTACCTCATTTTCTAAATGATCTTTCTAAAAACAAACAGAAAAGTGATATGTGATGGGAAAGCATTTTTTTATATAGAGCACAATTTTCCTCACTAGTCTAGAAGCCCAAGGTTATAAACAGTCATGGCTACAGGGCGACAGAATATTAGCGCATGTGGGTGAAGGAAGGGAGCTGTTAGCTAGAACTTTTTTGGCGTTGGGTAAGGGAAGCATAAGACTATGGTGGGCAGACTTGAGTTTCATGTCCCTGGCAAGTTTGACTCATTCAAACAAAACAAAACAAAAAACTCAGTTGCTTTGTTTCTTGGAGGTCTTGGTGACTTTGCAACAAAAACAAAAACAAGTGCAGCTGGAGGCAGACTGCCCAGGCCTGGAGGTGGCCTCACACCCCATTCAAGTGGGGACTGTGCCTGCCAGAGCCAGCTGAGATTTCTGTTGGCCGGACATGCAGGCACATCATTCACTTCCTTCCCCGTGTTTACAGAAGAGCACTCATTGATGACGCTTAGCTAGGAGCCCGAATCTGAATTTATCCTGGCTTTATCATCTCAGCAGGACAAGGTCCCAAGCCGGATATGAGTGGAATGCGGAGGAAAGGAAACGGCTGTGTTAGCAGAGCATTGTCTCTGTGTGAGTGTGGGTGTCTGCACACAAGTGTAAAAACTGCAGAAAATCAGTGGTTCATAGTTGCATTGGCATAGAACTTTCTGGGCAAGTTGGATTTCTCTGGTTCTGGGTTCTCCTTCAGATCT